AACATTCTTATTCTTAAGAAATGCTTGCTGAAGTGTTGTGATGTCCACAACTTTCTTTCAAATGATTCAGAAAAAAAAAGATATAGAGAGAGAAAGATGGAGAGAGAAGGTAAAGCCATGTGACAAATGTTCACAATTGGGAAATCTACGTGAAGGATATAAGGATTCTTGTACTTATATCCTTGTATTCTTCTTTCAACTCCTCTGTAGGTTTGAACTTTAAAAGACTCTTTTCATCTTTGAATAGTTTTCTTCAGCAATCGTGTCCCTTTTTTTCCTTTTTTCCCTTTTAGTATCAGGTTAGGTCTTTTTTTCCCCCCCATTTTTCACAAATGCCTGATGTTTCAAGTGATGCCCTCAAAGTCATTTGCCAGCCCCAAAGCATAAATTATCCTAAGTGTAGATGAATGCTCATAGGCACAAAGTCCTTCGCTGCAAGATGGGGTATCACTTCAGAAATCGTGAGTTTAAGAGAATTAACTAGTGGGTGAATGCATTCTGGGCACTACACGCAGACACGTGTTAATATGCATGGGGCTGCATTCTGAAACTTTTATGGAATTCATTCACCATAGATTCTCTATGGCTCCCCACTGGAAAGCAAGCCCCAATGGTTAATATTATTTTACATGTCATTAATGGATAGGGCTATATTTTAGCCAATTTGCTGAATCCATTTGCCAGATTTCGTCTTTAGCTACTGAACTATGTAAAGCTATACAAGTATTATACCTTGTGATCACTAAGCCAGGATTTCTTTATCTTGGAGTTTCTGTCAATGGGTCTGGTGTTCCAGCGACATGAGCTGTGTTCCAGTGTACACGACCTTCACTGGGCTCCATTAATTCTGCAAAAGGTTGTGTGGTTTTCATTCGGCAGCAGCAGACTCACTAGCCTCTGCCCACTCTGCTCACTTGGCAACACACCAGCTGCTGCTCACTGCCTGGGTTTGACACTGGCAGCTTTGCCAGAGAAAAGCTGAGCATGGGACACATGCCCCACCTTTTAGCTCCACCATTGTGAGCCTGCTGGCTTCCCAGGCAAGCCCTGCTTGCGTTAATAGGCTTACACCAAAGGAGACTAGGAGAGTTAATGGCGCTTGTCTCACGGTGAAGTAACCCAATGGTGAGCCCTTAGGAAGGGATCCAAGTCTGGATTTGGCTAAATAAGGTTAGTGGTATAGGATTAAATTGTGTGTTTGGGGACAGTCCTGACTTTTTATATAGAAATCACCTCTCTAAAGTATACTAGACTCACTGCTGCAAAAACTGCCTTCATAGTAAAACAAATAGAGCCTAACCCAGGGATTTAGCAGCTGATCTCACACAGCTGAAACTGTAACTACAGACATGTGTTTGGCCTGCCTTACTGCTTGCTTTTTGGCAGGCTCCCAGTGGCCCAGTAAGTTCTTTGATTTACAACATTGTGAAGCAACTAGATTGGGCTCTTAAAGTGGCCCTGTCAAAATTCAGAATTCCAAAACTATTGAAATAAAAAGAAACACATAATGAGTTGTTGAGACCAAACTCCTCCTCATCATCATCTTCAGCGCTCAGCAACACCATTGTATCTTCCGCAATGTCATTTGTTTTAAAATCGGAGAAGTTAAATTGACCACAGTAATTGAGATATACATCTGCAAAACAACAACACTGTTTTGTTTTGTTTTCTTTTTCAGTAATGAGCCTTAATGTTCACATTGATTTCTTTGCATACAACATTTGGAGTTAAGGGCGTGTAAATATCAAGGCAATTTTGTTAAACACAGAAAATCTGACACTGGGAGCTGAGCTCTGTTATATGGCTTCTTGCCCTGGGCATAAGGTTTCTGACAAAGGAAGTAAGTGGGTTATCCTCACATAATCCATTGTCTGTCTTCGAGTAGGAATACAAATATATTTTCAAAAGAGAAGCCGATTGTAATTTTTTTTTTTTTTTTTTAGTAAAGCACTGCAGTAGTTGGTATTCTT